CGAATACACCTTTTCCTAGACTCATTCGAACAAAATCTCCTTTCTTAAGTTTTGGTTTTGTCTTTTTAGTTGAAAACACATCACCATATATCTTCTCCCAGACATCTTGAGCATTGTCAAAATTAACATCTACAGGCCTCATACCATGTACTCTACTTTTTGCCTTATTTATTCCTTCCAAAATTTTAGGGAGGACTTGAATCCAGTCTAAAGTTTTATTTTGGGCAAAATATCGATAAATACGTTGTTTAATATGTCTAATCGCCCTTTCAGCTAGTGAGGCTTTCACTTCTGAGTGAGTTGGTTCCATCTTGTGAATTTCCTCTTTTTGGAAAAAGTCGTTCATTTGAGAATTTTTAAATTCTTTTCCCTTATCTGAAAATATACGGTGTGGTTTCATAGGCATTTGTTTTATTAAATCATTGAACGCTGTAACCATATTTTCTGCAGTTTTTGATTTTACAGGTACACCAAATATTCTTTTAGATAAAACATCAATTCCCAAAAGTAAATATTTATTTCCTTTGTTGTGTCTTGAGATTGCCTGAAAATCTGCCAAATCTACTTGAACATCTGTCATAAAACCTGCAGGTATAGTCAATGCTCTGTTAAAATGAATACGTTTCGGACGCATCAAAGTATAAGTCCTGTGTCCTTCTAAATAATCTTGGACAACATTTTTAGGTATATGTTTGAGTACTTTTCTAGCCTCCTTCCATAGTCTATCCACACCCGAAAAGGCGGCGGGAGACTCTGGATTATTGTATAAATCTTGTAAAAGTTTAGTATAATCACCCATCTTTACCACAATGAAGGTTTAAATGTTTTACCGCTTGCTTCTTTGCGTTTAGCTTTTATAAGCCTTAGCATCCATTCTCTACCTGCTCTTGCTGATTGTTTTTTCGTAACAGGCTTCACCTTTTTTAAAGCAATTAAGGGGCTTTCGTCTGGGCCTTGCCATTTTCGTTTTAACTTTTGACGTCTTCGTACGTCATCTTCTTGTCGAGCCTTTAGCATTGCTGATTGGTCTAGAGGGATTTTTAGTTTTCTTATATCCCTTCTTTTTAATTCCCTTTCTTTTTGTTTCTTCCTAATATTTTCCAGACGTTTATCATCCTTTATTCTTCTTAATTCTGCTTTTTTCTGCTCCAACTCATCAATTTTCTTTCTTTTACCTTCTTCGATATTAATAGATTGCGACCTTTTTGTACCTTGGGGATTTAGTGGTGGCGGAACATATGTAACCTCTTTATAGTATTGCGGGGTGTAAGGTATCTTTTGCTCCCTGATAGCCTTTTTCCTTTCTAAATATTGTCTTTTCTTTTCCCTTTTTCTATAGTCCTCCCCATCATCGACAATTTCTTTTTTAATAGGTTTAGTTTCGTAACTTTCATCTATTAAATGTCTTCTTTTGTCCGTTCCAATCTCATCGACTTGCTTTCTTTTAGAAGGTTTGTAATAGGTAGGAATAGTTGGTTTTTTAGGTTTCAATGTAATTGTTGGTTTAATGTCAGGTAGGATAGGTGGTATAATATTATAAGATGGCGTTTCTTTTGGATATGAACTAAATGACATATCTTCACTCATCCACATATTATCGTCGTCTTCTCCAATATTTGAAGTTGGAAGAGAAGCGGTAGTATTCATAATTGCACCTTTTGGACTAGCAACCATCTCTACCTTAACTGGTCTATTTTGCTGTTCGTTTCGTAATTGCAAATATCGTCTAAGTTCTTGATTATAGTGCACATTTTTTGCACTAGGTGTTTCTCTTTTCAATTTTGTTTTCTCAAGACCTTGACGTACAAAATCCAAGTTTGGTTCGCCTGTATCATAGGTTGTTAAACCCTTGTAAATTTCTTCTGGAACTAAAATAAATTTATTTGCCATAATTAATTTCATATTAAGATGTAGCAGGGGCTTTTATAGTCATCATCCTTGCCATTTCGATGAGCACAGGTGTCAAAAGGGCGGCAAAAACTCCTACTCCGTCACCTTTTTGATTAATAACATGTCTTGCTCCTCGTTCACTCCTAACCCTACTCATACTTCGCACAAATTCGACATGAGGTAATAATCTTTTCTTTTGGCGTGTTGTAAGTTTGAACCTCTCTTTTACTATATTCAAACAAATTTCAGCTAAAGCTAAAAGTTGTTCATTATTTGATAATTTTAAAAGCCTTTTCCTTTTTCTTTTAGATTTAGTTTTTGACAATAAATGTAAAAATTTTAAGTTTTCATGAATTAATTGATTAACCATTTCCGTTTATAGGAATAAAAATTATCTTTTCATCGTCTTCCTTAAATATGTTGGTCCTAAGACGGAGGGTAGGATCCGAAGAAGCATGCATATCGACGAGTAAGTAACCAAAATGTTGTTTGGTTGCCTGTCGATAGGAATCAAGAAAATAATCCAATTGTTTGGGAAATAATTGCACACCTATATTTCTGATAGATAGCATCGAATTTGGTGATCTCATCAACACAAGATATTGAGAATTTTGTCGTGCTACTTTAATCTTTTTATCGAATAAATTTTGTGTGACAAAAATTACAGAAAAATTTTGATGGTGTGATTTTTTGGTGAATAATTCGGATAAATATTTTTCGTCAACAGATAAAATCAGATCATCGAGAATTAGTAATAGTGGCTTGGGATATTTTTTAATCAAATCCTCAGGTGGAACTCCTGCAAATACATCAACTCCAGATTTTTGCAAAAGAGGTACAATATTGTTCATCTCACCAAAGCAATAAAGTATGGACTTTGGTTTAGGTTCAATTAGATCTGAAGCCTCTGAAATAAGTTTTAATAATAATGTACTCTTTCCACTTGAACTAGGACCAGATATAATCATTCCAAAAGGTAATTTAAATTTTAAATCTTTATTCGAGAAAGCTAAGGAATTCATTATGAATAATTTATGAATATAAGAAAATTTCACTTAAATATCTTTTTAATCGGTTGGTATTCCTGTCACCGTTGCATCTAAACTCTGAAAGAAATCATCCAACTCCTCTTTTGAAGGAAGTGTATCCAAGGGTTGGGGTGTCTGTGTCACTTCTTCAGGAATTGTGGGGAGAATTTGTGGTTCAATTGGTTCAGTTTTGGGAATCTCTGTAGAAGCATTGTAGGGTACATTAAAAACTCGACCTTTATTCTTTACTTTGAAAAAGCAATGCCCTGGTAAATCATATAATAAATCAAAAGGAACAAATCTACTTCCTTCAAATCGTGTGCAATAGACTACAACTCCTTCCTTTACTATTATAAAATCTAGTTCAACTTCCGTGCTCTTACACTTACGGCACTTCCCTCCTTGGTCATAAGGAAGAAAACGGGGTGTTGTATAACGGACACTGGAAATTGTAATCCCAGTCGATGAAATGTTAAATTCAACCTCAGGTAATAATTTTGGGTACTTCATTTTTAAATTAATTTCTCGGCCTTATGCCTCCGTTTATACTAACTTAGGAATATTTGACGGGAAGTAAAATAATTTTATCTATACAAAACTAAACAAGTATGGAATAAACCACCATTTTGAATATATTAGATAATTAAAACTGGTAGAGTAATTTAATACATGAGGGGATGTTGCAATAGTTCGATTTAGGTTCAAGTCTAATTGTAAACTGTCATTGTATCTCTTTATACCATAGTGGCGAAATGGTGTTAACCTATAAAATTCAAAGTCTTCCGCATTCGCCCTAGACCCTTTTAATAGGTGTATTGGACACTGACACCTTCCTGGTATAGGTCCTGTAATGTTAAAAGGAAGATTCAATAAGTATTTTGGGCATCTACAGGGTTCCTGTTTCCACATATCCTGCCATCTGGGATCATCTACTAGAGATAAGTTTGAAGAGGAAGAAAGGGGAAATAATAAAAATAATATGAACATTTTGATTAAAGATTACATGAAATTGGGGTCTTTTATACCACTTCATTCAAAATCTCCTGAGAATGATACGACTCAGCTCGTCGAGCCGGTCAGAATGAGTACCCATATACCTATATTTGCAAAAGTTTCGTGTTCCAAGGTCTAGAACTCGAGTTTTGAGCTCGATTTTAGATTGAAACCAGTTTGTTACGATTTATCTCATCAAACTGATCAAAATGTCAATAATGACATATGTCAATTGACATATGTCAAAATGTCAATTGTCAAATGTCGGGTTATCAATTATGCCTGAGATTATGTGGGAAGGTTAGAGAAAAGTTTGCCGAAGTGTTTTTTCAATTATTTTAAAAAGTTTCTCCTTTGAACCGTTCAAATGTACCTACTGAACCCTTTGGGAACTTCTTGAACTTTTATTGAACAATATAGAGATAGTATAGTATAGGTTAACTACTTTTTATTTTATAAATTTTTATACATTTTCCCTATCTAACAATAATTTTGCAAAATAATTTTTGCATGACCTATTCTATATAATTATTACTTTACAACAATAATTTTTGTAAAATTATTGCATGAATGATTTTTTTTTATAATTATTATATATTTTCCCTTTTTACAATAATTTTGTAATTTTTAAAAATTTAGGGTAAAAATAAAAGTGAATAGAATATCAATAAAGGACAGAAGAAACTTAAAAATTTTAAGGAATAGTTTAAAAAGAAAAAATATGTGAAATCTTGGTTTGAACCAGATGAACCGGTTTAAAATTACTTCCTAAACCTTTAGGAACAATTTTTAAAATAAAATTTTGTTAAAAATAGGGAGGATTGTTTTTCTTTAAAAAGTTCACACCAAACCGGTTTGATCAAAGTACCTCTTAAACCTTTTGGAAACTCCTTGAACCTCTGACGACGGAGTGGTTGAATGAGTGTTTAATTAAGGGGAGGGGCTAAATGATTGAACCCCGCTGCCCCTGACGACTTATACGTTGGTTTAACTACTGACCGACATTTGCGGACGCAATCCGTTCTATTTCAGAACTACATATTAGGTAAGCTATCCGTAAAATATGTATCGTTCAACCTTTATATTTACCTAGAATAAGTGTTGGTGCTGTAGCATTTTGAGGATTTATATTTGGTACTATAGTAGTAGTTACAGATGGAGTATTAACAGTTTTTATATTTTGTTCGTTTGTCTCGTCTGGAATTTTTGTAGCTTCTTGATTAATTGGTGGTTGTTGTGTTTGAGTATTTATTTGATTACCCGATTGGTTTGGGGAAAGGGAGGGTGATCCTCTTTGTTGAAGTCTTTCCAATAAAAGCAAGTAAATAGCTTGAAGATTGTCATAAGCATCAGCTAGAAGGGACTGAAAAATAAATTATTACAGTAAACTCTCTAATAAATCTCGACCCCTGAGCCTTTAGACTCGATCCGAGGAATATTTCTTTTCAGTCCGACCCAGGGATGATCATAAGAAACAAGTTCCAAAAACGTAAAATGCAACTCAAGGTCAAAATCAAACGCATAACCCTCATTTAATAAAAATATATTTACAAACATTTTTAATCTTAACAGTCTCAATTCCAATATTATTCATTAAACGAAGGATTTGTGGATGTAAATCATTTAAATTTTTAGAAATTCCTTCAGTTGAAGATTTTGCCAAATCAAAAAGTGCTTGATATTTTAAATTAAAATCGTTAGAATGCATCCAACGATGCTGTTTAATTTGTTCGATTGTTGGCCTTTTTCGAGCATCTACAGTGAGCATTCGACGAATAAGATTTTCACAATCAGAGCTCATAAAGTAGGGAATTCTGATTCGACCGCTTAGAACTAAAAAATATTTTTAGAATATTATTTTGATTTAAAAATTTTTTTTGAAGAATTAGGTAGTTTTCGGTGAACAATGAAAGGTCATTAATAATATACCCTACCTCTCCAATTGTTTTCATCTCTGATATAAATTACCTAGATTACGACTCGAATGGATTATGATCAAAGCCACCAAATTGGTCCTACTCGGTCAGAAAGCTTCTTTCTTGGCCGGAAAGAAGCTAAAGACCTGACTTGCCCCGAAGCATTTCGAGACCTGACTCGGTCCACAGGAAGTTAAAGTAGCTCGAATGAAGCTAAAAAGAAACTTAAAAAATTGCTTCAAACTTCGATCGACTCGAAAATGCCAACTTTAAAGGCTCTTGAAAAGAAGTCTTTCGATTAGCTTAAAATAGAGGATTGGCTTCAAAAATAGCTCTAAGAATTGCTCAGCAAAAATTCATTCGAGTATATTTTAATATTTTTCTATTCAACACACCTCTTTCTTTCAACAATTGTAAATTGGCGCCTTCAAAAGGCAATGCTCCACAAACCATTACATAAAGAATCACACCGAGACTCTTAAAAATATTTTTCTGTTCGAAATTTTAGATATTCAACTACCCAAATATCAATTTCTGGCCCAGCATATCTTTTCCCTTCAAAAACTTCAGGGGCGGCATAGGGCGGACTTCCACAGAAGGTATCCAAAGTATCATTTCGAGAGAAAAAATTTGAAAAGCCAAAATCCGCCAATTTAATTTGGAAAGTCGAATCAAGCAATAAATTCTCTGCCTTTAAAAAATAAATTTTTTTGAGGCTTAAAAAATCCCAATTTTCCCCTATTTTATTAAATTTTTTAAAAATATTTTTTCTATATTTTTTCAAATTTAAATTTAAAAATATTCCCCCCAAAAATATTTTCTTTTTACTAATTTTCCATTGAACTTATTTTTATTGACGTCAATCACAAATCTTTTTTCGGTCTATTCATAAAAATCAGTTATAATAAACGGACTCAATAATTTGGAAGGAAAAGTGAATGATGATCGGCATAAGTAAAGGTGATTGTTCCTTTCTCTCCCTTCTAAGAGAGAGAGAGAGAGAAAACGATCATCGCCAATTAACGTCAATAAAAATAAAATTAATTTTTTATGTTCTTTATGACGTCTTGAACCCTCCAAATATATTTTGTACAAAAATTTCCGGTTTGGAAATTTTTGTGGATTCGAATTAGTGGACAGATAATTTACGGATTATACTTATGCCACAAATATTTTTTGGATTAAAATTTGCGGATAAGTTTAAATTTGCGGACAATTGATTGCGGATAAATATTTGGAAACTAAAATTCCGGACACGCATAATTTTACTGCTAGGGTTGTTCCCCGACGGGAGGGGGAGGGCCACGAAAAAAATTTTCGGGGAGGGGGGGGGGCGGAGAATTTTCAAAAAATCTCTCAAATTCCCCGACTTTCGGGGACGGGGTACAACGCTATTGCAAAAGGGGTATCAAATATCTTATCAAACTAAATGCACGTTAATCACTGGCGAAAGTACAAGCTTCGAACCAGAGACCGTATTTTTCAAAAATTAATAGGCTTTTGATTTTTTCCGTATATGTCAGTTTATTAATATTTCAAAAGAATATGAGGAAAAAATTTTTGAAAAATTTTTATCAAACAAAAAATCACCTTAAGATCTCTATGAACAATATTAATATTATGTAAATAATCAACAGCTGATATTATCTATAAAATATTTTTTAAATAATTTTTTAATATCATTTATTTGCCTGCCAAAATTTTTCCCTAGCATTTTCTTCAGTTAATCTGTGCTGTTTTGATATTAAATCTTTAGAAAAATTTTTTAGATAGGTTAAATCCAAAATTTAATTTTACCAAATATTTCACCATTTGGGGCATATTCAGTTACCAAATAAAGCATATTATTTGTCTCCATTACCTTTAGATATTTTTAAATTAATAATTAAAAAAAATTTTTGAAGCAAAATACAGCTGGAACTTATTTTTTAAATAAGCCTTAGGGTGAAAAATTATTTTAATTTAAAAATGTGAGGCAGCGCTTAAGGCAGTTCCCTCCTCAATTCAGTGGATATTAGAGATGGGTATTTTTGAAAAGCCGGGACCTGTTCCTGGGTTTGATTTATTGACCTGGGCCAGATCCTGGGCCTGTAGTCCAGGAAAAACCCAGAAGAGGTCAAAAAACCCAGGAAGGTCAAAAAATGCCTGGACTCTGGGTACAGGAAAAACCCGGGCCTTGGTCCAGACCCAGGCCGATTTCTAGTGGATGTTGGCCAAAGCATTTTAAAAAAGCTTATCTTAAATTGAGAATTATTTAACATTGTGAGTATTTTACAGAAAGGTATGCTAGGATTAACAGTTTTAAATTTGCTTAGAATTAAAGGAAATTAATTATTAAATATTCACTTGATAAAGCCTAACAATATGTGGATGTCTCAACCTTTTAAGCACCTCAATCTCTCGATATATTTTGGCTAAATTATTTGCATCAAGACGGCGTTTATCAACAATTTTTATTGCTACCTGAAAAGAGAATTTAATAAATTTTTAAAATTTCTTTAATTTTCTTATTTTTATTTAAAAAAATATTGTTTTTATTTATTTATTTATTATTTTTAAAGAGTCAGCAACGCTAAGAAATATTTTCGTTTTTCCAAGAAATAATTTTAACTATCCAGAATATTTATAATATTTTTGATTAATATTTTTGTAAACAATTAAATAAATTGACTGTTTAAAATAAAATTTTAGGTTCAGAATCGAACAGAAGAACTGAGTATTTTTCGGCTTTTTACCTCGGTTATCAGGTTCCGGATATGCCAAAAAAATTTTAAGACCCGCCAACCATAGATTAAGAAGAGACCAGTGTTTGGAATTTTAAAATTTTCTCGTACTCGTATTTCGTACACAGGTACGAGTAAAAATTTTGGTTCGAGCTTTCAAACAAGGTGAAGACCGGTCTGAGAGAGATCCATATCTCAAAAACTTTTTGATCTCGATGACTGAGATTTTCGATCTAGATCTCGTCTCGATCTGATCTTTAGTTTTAATGCAATTTTTTTATTTTGTAGTCAAACTCCAATCTAATTTTTATTTAAATTTTATTATTCAGATTTTTAGTTAACATATTTTTTTGTCTAATTAAATCAATATTTTAATTAATTTTTAATTAATATTTTTATAAATTATAAAATTTTATTTATTTTTTTGCGTCAATAAACAGGGGAGGTTATTTACCTATCATTAAAATAAAATAATGAGGACTGACGACAATAATAAAAAAAATATTTTTTTACGTCAAAGCGATCATTAATAAATTTTTTTTAATTAAAAAAATTTTAAGTTTAAAAAATAATTGGAATTTAAAAGTATTTTTGGAATAAATTAAAATTAAAAATAATTATTGGGTAGTTCCGGTTACAATTTTTTTTGAGATTATTAAATTTATTTTTTAATTTTATTGGCTATTATTATTTTTAAAAATTTATTTATTTACCTCTGTTTTGGTTATTCTGTGTTTTGCTAGTTTAACAACTGCATAATTGCCTTTTCCGATAGTTCGGCCAACCTCATAAAACCCAACCTAGAAAATTAAGAAATATTTTTTAAATTTTTAGAATTTAGATTGTTGAGAAACTTGTGAATAAATATTTTTGATTTTTTGAGAATTTTAATATTTTCCCCCGAGGAATTAATATTTCAACCCATCCGTGGGATGGGGAATTATTCGAGGGAGGGGAATTATTCAAGGGTGGGGAATTATTCGAAGGAAGGGAATTTTTACGGTAGCTAGACATGAGTTGTATGAGTATATGTTAAGATATTTAGGGATCGTAAGTTCCGAAATCGGTCATTTATTTTTCTATGTTAGCATCCCTGGGATGAACTAGACGATCTAAAAATGTTTTCCGATCCGAAAGATCGAGTCGGGCATCGAATTTTGGCCTGAAAAAGACTCGGTTGGACCGGCCCGATAAAAATGAGGCCCAAAAATGACCCGAATGTCGGCCCGACTCGAAAACCCCACCCCTAACTATATTTAAGGCTAGTGTTATATTAAATTAAGTTTAAATACCTTAATCAAAAAATTTGCTAAATTTTTCATTTTTAAAAATATTCTAAGATTAAAGAAAAATAAAGAGAATAGTTTGTATTTGAATAAAAAAATAAATTTCAAAAATTTAAAATAAAATATTTTTTTATTTTCTATTTTCGCCCTATTTTCTACGCAATACAAAATAAAAATAGCAATCAGCTGTACATTTAGAAAATTAAAAAAAAATAAAGCAAAAATTTAAAAAAAAAATTTGTAGTTTATTTTTTGAAATTTTTAAAAAATTTAAAAAATCAACGAATAAAAATTTTCTATTTTCGTCAAACTTTTCTCTCCAAAATAAAAAAATTATAAAAAAAGTATAAAAATTAACATGAATAAAGAATGTTTTAATTAGCGTCCAAAAAACAAATGAAAAATTAATTTGGGTTCTGGAATGTATTCACCCACGTTTTTAGAAAGTTTTTGGGGCTGAATAATCTTAGAATTGAATTTGTGTCTTAAATGGAGATCAAAGCTCGGACTGGAAGGACCAAATTTTAAAAAGGTATCCTAAATAAAGACGTATCTAAATGGTATCCTAATGAGAAAGTATCCTAAATGGATCTTGATAAAATCTTGATAACCGAGATTTTCGATCGAGATATTGTCTCGGTCAGGTCTCTACAGAGAGCATCGCTTGGAGTTGTTTTGGAACGGAAATTGAAATGTCAAAGCTTTGGTATTGTTTAAGCAGCTCTTTAATCCAGTGCCTAACCAAATTTTAAAAACGTACCGTATTTTCTCTAAAATAACCCTCGGGGGTTATTTTTTCGATCGACCTATAGAGGGGGATATTTTAGAAAGAGGGGGGGGGGGGTTATTACTCAATAAATACGTATCAAAATGGTATTGGAGGTTTTTAAAGAAGAGTTTTTAGTTTAAATTGAGGTCCTAATGCATAGAAATTTTCAAAAATTATTTTTAAAAATATTTCAAAAAAATATTATTTTTTTTATATAATTACTTTTATTGTTTCGGGTCTCTGTGTTGTTGTAATTTCCTTTTGAGGGATATTTTCATTAATACAAGTTAGTGGTTGTTTTATTTGTGTTTTGGATTGTTGATATTTATCTTCGCCTAAAGGCGCTGTTTCGCTATTGTTGGTGTTGGGCTGTTCCCCAACAAGTGATTTTTGTTTTTGTTGTTGACTTTGTACCATTCTAATTTTTAAAGATAAAATTTTTAAACAAAAAATTTTTAAAAATAATGAAAATTAAGGTTAATAAACAATGAAAAAGTTGAGGGAATAATTAAATTAAAGAAAATCTGGATATGAGGAAATTTCCTAGTCTGATTTAAAAATAATAAATAAAATTTCAAAATTTTGCCATAATAAGAAAGAGATTAGTAAATTTGCTAGATAAATGCTAGAATATTGAAGTAAATTTTGATTTAAAAAATATATCTTTGTCTCTAAGGGATCCGAAAAGAGTAGTATTTAGTAGAGTAGTAAGGATTTTTAGGGATCCGAAAAGAGTACGGACATACGGAATTTTTCGCTTAGGATATCAGATTTGCATGTCTGAATAATCCCTAGAAATTCCATTAATCAGCCACCTTTGAAGGCCTTTTATTGACAATTAATACTGTATATTCACAAAAATTTTTATTCAAAAAATTTCGTTCGTTTATAGAATTGAGGTAGTTTTTATTGTGTTTAATCAAGGCAAAAAATACATGTGGAATTTTTAAAATTTTGTTTTGAATAGAGGTAAGGGGATAATAAAGGAAAAAGGTAGAAAAAAGGGTTCACAAGTGGGAATTTTTAAAATTAATTGTGGGGTTTTTAAATAATTAAATTATTTTTACTTTACAGACAGCCCTCTAAGAAATATAAAAAAATAATTTTTTAATAAATTTAAAAAATTTAAAATTTAATGCATTAATTTGTCAAATAAAAAAATTTTTTAAATAAAAATTAAAGAAAGCAATTTTTAAATCAATTTAACAAAGAAAAAAATTTTTTAAGAGAAAAAATCATTAGCGTCGATTAAATAAAAATTAAAAAGTAATCAATGCTTTTCCTCTTTGAAAATTAAAAAAAATAAAAATAAATAGAAAAATAATAAGAAAAATAATTCTAACATAAAAATAAATCCTCCGTAAGGATTAAAATGTTCTCATTTAAAAAATATATTTTTTAATGAAGAAAAAGGTAGAAAAAAGGGAAATTGTAAAAATTTATTTAAAAATTTATAGACATTAAACACACGCAAAGGGGGAGGAGTTGAGGAGTTTTCTTTGAATTTTAAAAGCTAGCTTTTAAATTTAAAAATACTTTTTTAAAGGAAATATATTTTTTTATTAACAGCTGTAATAGTGACAATAAAAAAATAAAATAATAAATGATGAGAAAATAAATAATAAACTATAAAATAAAATAGTATAAAGATGGGCGAACGGCCCCCATCTTCATTCCTTAACCTCTCCTCCTTTTTTGTGTCCTTCCCTCCCCCCCCTCCCTCTACCCCCTCCCCCCATTTCCATTATTTTCCCCAAACATCCTCCTCTCCCCTCCTCCCCAACATCATCTTCCACTCCCCAAACCTCCCTTCCATTCCAAACAGCATCCTTCTCACCAACATCCTCTCTTTCCTATCCTCCCTTTCCCATCCAACATCCTATCACCCATAACATCCTCCTAACGGCCTCTTCCCTTCCAAACAGCATCCTTCTCACCAACATTCTCCCTTTCCCATCCTCCCCTCCTTCCCATTCTCCCCAACATCCTATCACCCCTAAACATCCTCCTAACAGCCTCTTACCCACCCAACATCCTATCCCCCCAAACATCGACCTAACAGCCTCTTCTCCTCCAAACATCCTCCATCTCCCTATAAACATCCTTTATCCTCTTCTTTCCCTTTTTAAAATGCTTCAAACGAAAAGCGTTCGACCTCCGACGTAAATTCTCTCCTCTTCAAATATTATTTGCTTTGCCTAAAGGTGACAGAAAAAAATGCTTTCCTCTCATCTCGCTGAGTTTTGACGTAGTTACCCCCATCCAATGTGCGTGTTTTCGTTTTAATGCGGTTGTCTATATTAATTATTATTTTTCTTGTTTTTGCTCAAGCCAATTAGTATATTTTTTAATTAAACAAGAAATAAATGAAAATGAAAATTTAAATTAGAGAAGAGGGGAAAGAATTATTTTCTCTCACAAATAGTTTTTGGAAAGACTTGTTAAACTATTTGATAAATTTTGGAAATTTTCAAGAGGAGGATTTCAACTATTAAAAATAAAAATCAGGAAATTAGAATAAAAAATGATAATTAATTATAGTGAAAGGCTGGCAAAAGTTTAGCAACTTGGTAGGCATCATCGACTTCCTGTAAGATATACCGTATTTGCTCTATTAATCCCCCAGTCCTTTATTAATCCCCCAGGCTCTATTAATCCCCCACCCTGGAGATGGGTTGAAACAATAATCCCCCTCTTTCTACCCCACTCTAATAATCCCCCAGGCTCTATTAATCCCCCACCCTAGAGATGGGTAGAAACAATAATCCCCCTGGGGGATTACTAGAGCAAATACGGTAGTTAGGAGCTATAGTTATGAGCAGATCAGGGATCGCGCCGAGCCGATTAACGATTTCCGAAAATCGTGAATTTGTTTTTCTGTCGGCGCGATCCCTGGTATATGCAGTATATTTCCTCGGTTCTAAGAAAATCTCTTTCGGATATCTGGAACCGAGGATTCTCTTAGTTTGTTTCTTCGATTCTGTTCCTGATATCTGAAGATTTTCCAAGAACCGACAATCCTACTTAATAGTACCCTAACAATAAATTCTAGGAAGTAGCAGATATCCAGCTGGATTTCTCTTACTTTTACATTATTAAACAGAAAAAAATTTTTTTTTCGAATAATTAAAATTTTAAGAAACCACAGAAAAATTCTAATAATTTTAAAATAAATATTTTAATCAAAAGTTGAAAATAAAATATCTATTTTTAGACAATAAAATAACTAAAATGGCACAAATAATATTCTAATAACTTAGCAGAAAATGTGTTTTATTAATGTTTCTGTTTTTAAATTTGTGTATTTATTTTTATAAAATTAAAACGTAAAACTAGAATAATAAAAAATTATTTTTTTAAAGTTTATTTAAAATATTTTTCTGTTGAAAAACATTCAAAAGTCAAAGGAAAAATTTGCAGGGTTTGTGACCTCATTCTACAAGAATCACCAAAATTTTCGAATTTTTCTTAATTTTTTTTTCTCAATTTTGGAAGTATTGATTTGGTTTAAAATAATTTTTAGAAAATTTTTTTACATTATTTTTTTTGAAAAAAAAAACGCAAAATTTTTCCAGCTATTCTGGGAATTTTTAAAAATTTTATTAAGGTTAAATTAATATTTTATGCAATTCTCAGAGTTTTTGAACCAACGTTTTTAAAGCAAAGAAAATTTTTGTTAAAAATAAACTCTTTATGAAAAACCGGAAATTTCAAAAATAGTGAGTCATTACTAGGGGTTCCAATTATATGGATATAAAATCCTAAAATATGGATCAAAAAATGGTGAAAAGATATTTTAAAAATCAGTCCTTACCATAACTCCTAATCATTACCACAATTCCACATTTTTTTTTAATTTTAAATAGGTATCTAAAACCAAAGACGAAATACCGTAATACTTAAATCCCCTGGTTAGCCCTGATTATTATTTTGAAACCCTAAAAATAGGGAAAAGTATTTAGTAAATTATAATCATGTGTGGGCAATTTGCTTAAATAAATTATTGTTTAAAAAACAAAAAAAAATATTTTTGAAAATCCAAGAAAATTATTAGGTATTTTTAAAAGAGAATGTATAGGGAAATTAGTTTATACGGAAGTAAGCGAATTGAAAATAGGACAAAATTGAGTTAAAAAAGCTTTGAGGAAAAGCTTAAAATATGTGATGAGGTCGATAGATATATATTTATTAGTAGAAAGAATGGCATTTAAAAGTAAGTAGCAGGTGTGGGAGACAATCCAAACAAACAATAGAATTTTTTTGAATTGGAAGAGGAAGGGAAATAAAGAATCTGATGACGTCAAAATTTTTCTTTAAGGATGAAAATGAAAAATTTTAACGAAAAAAATTTTTTTGTCGCCGAAAAATGTCGGAGAGATAAGGTGATAAATAATATAAATTTGTCATTTAAAGGAAAAGCGGAGGTACTTTTTTGCGGACAAATATTTGCGGACAAATTTTAAATTTCTCTATAGAAGACTAATAAAGATTGTAAGGCGTAAGTATAAAGTTGGATTAAATTATAAGACGGAGGTCAGCCGGAAAGGACGAAGTTGCCGAAACTTGGAACTGTCGGAATCGGAAACAGAACCCCTTGGGGCTGAAAATTTTTTACCTCATAGCGAGGGTAGCTTAAATAGCGGAGGTATTTTTTGCGGATAATTTTTTGAATTGGAAGAGGAAGGTATCGGAACTGTTGGAATCGGAAACAGAAGGGTATCTTCATTTAAGAGGTATCTTCAAACCCCTTAAACAGCTTCCGCCCCCATGGCCAACCACACCTTAAAAGCATCCAAAATTGAGGTGTTCATTTAGTGGATATCTTAAGTAAGATTTTAATCTAGTCCTACATACTTGCACGCAATTTTTTGTCTGCAAATGTCGTCAAGCAGAAAAATAAATTTGCCTACTTTTGGACATTTTAATTATTTATTCATTAATTCATATGAATAAAATATTCTGTTGGCATTAAACAACTCTTTGACATTTTTAAAAAGAAGAATAAATGTTCTTTCTAGTTTATTTAGTCTCTACTTTTATGCTTTTACATATGTATGTCATTGCCATTTTATTTATTTATTCAAGCAGTGGATAAAAGAGGGTTGAGGCAATACTTATTTTTTAGAAGCTTTAGAAAATATGGGGAGGGACAGTTTACCGCAAGCCAAGTACGGCGCGAGGTCATAACTTAATTTAGAAACGTCTAAGCTCGTCAATTTAGGTACCAACAGACTCAGCTCGATGAGACGCGTCGAACCATACCAAACTTGACTAGGTTCAGACTTCCCTAGGATTAAAGCTAAGACCCGCGCCAGACTAGGCCGCGGTAAGGAGTACCCATAAGAATGAGAGAAAATGAGAGAAAATAAAAAAATAAAAAGTGTTCTTAAATATTACGTGGTTATTATTTATTATTATTTTTAAAAAATGTTTTTTTCAAATAAAAAAATGACGAGAGAGGTATTTATTTGATATTAATTGGAAATTTGAAACAAAAGAAAAAAAATTTTTTTAAGGGAAAATAAAATAGAAAATTAACTTCCTTAATTTTTAAAAATTCAAAAAAGACTGAAATTTAAAGGAAAAAAAAGTTTTTTAATTTTAAAAGAAATATTTTTTAAATAAATTAATTCTTTACATTTTTAAAAAAAAATTAAAAAGCTTTAGAGCATTTTTGTTTTAAGAAATAAGAAAAGCTTTTTAATGACGTAAATGGTTAGAAATTGAAAAAGGAAAAGAAAAAGCTAAAGTAGTGGGGGTGTTTTACATAGGCTTTAAAGGGGGGAATTGAAAGAAAAGAGAAAATAAAATATAAAAAGTTTTTTAGGACTAAATTCAAGATTTATATAAGTTAAGAAATTATACGCCACCTTAATTTTTTTCCGGAGCGTTTTATATTGCCTAATGCCAAACCCCCAAAAGCTGTTGAAATGCCAAATGTTATTCCAACACAACTGGGGATGTTGTTCCGTGAACGCGGGAAGTTGTTCCGTAAACGGGGGATCAACATTACACTTCCCCCGTCACTTGGTATTACAAGCTTTTGGCTTATAACATAACCTTAATTTTTTCTGTTTTCCTAGTTTTCAGTTGTCCAATTAAGCTGAAATTATTATACATAGGATGTTTGACAACATTTTTGGACTAGGAACCCAGAAAAAACTAAGGTGGCGTTATAATTTCTTAACACACTGTATAAATCAGGGTGGTAGGAATTATGGTCGAGATTCTGACTTTCAACACTGGGGGGGGGATAATTTTCGAGAATTTGTTAAATTTCCAAAATCACTATGAAAGTTGACCATTTTTAGGGTTAAATAAATATCTAGTAAAAAATTTATAAATAAACGTTGTATAAAAAACACTATAAATGATTACTTAAAATAATATTTAAGGTAAAATAAAAAAAATTTTTCTGGGACATAAAAAAATTTTTATCTGGGCAGATATGAAAATTAAGGTTGGTCCTCAACCCCGATTCATGTCATTTCCGGACAGGGCTGTCCGCAATTGCGTTTGCGAATTTTAAAATTAAAATTGCGTGTTGCGGATTGCGACTGCAGAAATTTTTTTCAATTGCGGACAATCCTAGTCCCGTTCCCCAAAAAGTTTTTACCAGACGGGTGCGGACCAACCCTAACTAGGATCAATTAAAAAATAAAAAAATTGAAGAGAACATTAAAACTTTAGAAATTTTAGAATTTATGAAATTTTAAATTCTATCACAGCATCTGATATCTGATTTGAATATTATAATACAATAATTCATAATTTTCTTGTTATTTAAAAAATATTTTTACAATTTATTCCATCGAATAAAAGCTAATAATTGTTTTCTTAATTTTCTAAAAAATATTTATTTATAAATAATTAAAGCCCTTTAATTACCTGCTCATACACAAATAAATTACTGGATTTAGACCACAAATACAGGTGAAAGTTAACATCCAGAGAGGCTAAATTTTTAAAATTAATATTTGAAATTTTCAAGTAAAATGGATAAAATTGGTATTAAATAAGGCTTAAACGTGAAATGGAAACATAAAATATTAACTAAAAAAGTCCAAAATATGGACCAAAATCAGAAAAAATTGGAAAATATGGGCCAAAATATTGAACGAAATTTGTCAATAAAATGTACTAAATTAAAAACGTAAAAGTTATTTCACATTTTAGCTTCTATTGTGAATTTCAATATTCTCTGAGGTAATGCTCCTCGTTCTGTCAGCTAAAATTACTTATGTATATAACGAAAAAGAACGTTATAGTATATCGCAGAAACTTCAATGATTCTAATATCACCGGATCCGTTCCTAAGACTAGGGTTAATCTGAGATTTACCCCGGCTCAAGACCGGGGTAAATTTTTTGCATTACTAT